TCTTTATCCAATAAACATACTCAGTGTGTGTGTGTGTGTGTGCGCGTATGTGTGTGTGTGTGTGTGTGTGTGTGTGTGTGTGTGTGTGTGAATTTACATTGTAAAGTTATTAAGCATAATCTCTTTGAGATTATACAGTACTTAGAATAATTGAGTACACTCCATTTTAAAATAAATATTTTATTTTGGTGCATTTAACAGATTTATTAAACAGATATATTTATTAAATAATATTTTATTTACAGAGCATCTTTACAAACTGAAATATAATACAATTAAATTCAATCAAAATATTGCAAAAAAAAAAAATTACAAGCTACAAAATGTCAACCAAATTTTTCATTTTTTTGCTTTTGATTTTTCCTCCATTTAAAATTTGTATTTAATATTTTTCTATAACAAATAATTTTGGCTATACTAGTTTTTTGACCGTTAACGTAAGTTATTTTGCAAGATTAGCTCCAGATTTGGCTTCAGTACTCACTAATCTAACATATATGCACAAATATATTATTGTATAGCTTCCTATTCAAAATATGAATTTAAAAGATAGATTTGAGAGGGGTGTACTTATATATGCTAAACACTGAACATGAAAATAGACTTATTGTCACAACATATACTGGAGAACCTAGTGAGACCTATCTTTGCTGGCAGATCATGTTACGAAATGTAATTAAAAGAATAAAGGGTCACAGTTGATACAGACAACACACAGTTCTGAGAAGTTCTGTCTGTGTGTGTGTGTGTGTCATTTGCATCTTCATGGAAATATATTTTTGGATGTTCTATTGACTGTTATATTAATAACACACAGTGAATAAATAATAACGTACACTTTTTTTCAGTTTATTCATGACAATTTTCATTTGTATAATGTTATTATCATTAGCAGTCATATTTATTATCTGAATATTTATATTTGTTTTAACAAAAACAAGTTTAGATTTGTCCACCTGTCAGGTTTTGGTGACGTATGCATCACCATATGGGGCATAAGAATAGGACGTGTGTTTGGATATAACTCAGTTTTTTGACTACACTTTGTTATTATTGTTTATTTATTCATTTGCTGGAAATTAGAACTGATTTTAGAAATAGTTTTGAAACAAATCTTTGTGCTTAACAAACGAAAATAATTATGTAGGCTAGTGGATGTCCTCAGTGGAGTGCGTACAACACCGTTTCCTTATCCACGAAAGTAAAGGAGTAAAGTGTAAAAGTAAAGTAAAGAGAAAGTAAAGAGGCCAGAGAGTTCTTTATCCTCGCACTGCTGATGGTCTGTTTAACTGTTTTCTCGCTAGTGAAGCGTTCAGTTTTTCCACTTACAAAGTCCACCATGTTAGACTTTGCACCTAGATCATTAAAATAGAGCCCAATTTGTTTGTTTAAAAACAGCCCATATAAATAGTTCGTAACCATTTACCCTAAAAAATTGTAAATTATATTATTATTATTAGTAGTACTATTATTATATGAGATATTTTTGGAAAGTTATGTTTGCATCATCAAAAAAGTTTATGCCGTTTGAAAACATTTTTTATACCAGAACATTAGATACATGTATTTTTATCTGCGTTGATTTGCGATAATACTAATTTGTTTATTGTTGTTGTTATACATACACTAGATGTTTTTCGTTACAGACATGCAAGCTGTAAAATAAACCAAAGTTAAAGGGATAGTTTAGAAAATTTTGTTAATAATTACTTGCCTCAATTACTCATGTTGTTCCAAACTCCTGAGACCATCTTCAGAACACAAATTAAGATATTTTCGGAGAAATCTTTGAGCTCCCTCATCCTCCATAGACTGCAATAGTCCTGACTAATTAAAAAAAAAAAAAAAAAAGCATCCTCAAAACAGACCATATACCTTCAGTGGTTCAATTGGAATATCATCAAGCTATAAGGATACTTTTGTGCACACATAAAACAAAAATAATGACTTTATTCAGCAGTTTCTTTTCCTCATTGTCAGTACATTGTGCGCCTTTGCAAGTACTGAGCACTGATGCACAGTATACACCCCCCACACCCAGAAGCTCACGCAAGAGATAAAGGACAGGCACATCTAAGGAAATGCAACCACAAAACGTGTGCCCTAAACTGACACGTGTGGCCTAAACTGAGGAGAAGAAACTGTTGAATAAAGTCATTGTTTTTGATTTATGTGTGCACAAAAGTATTCTCTTAGCTTGATAATATTCTCATTCTTATTCTCATTGAACCACTGAAGCCATATGGTCTGTATTGAGGATGATTTTTTTGTATTTTTCTCGAGGCAGGAACTTTGCTGTCTATGGAGGATGAGGGAGCTCTTAGATTTCATCTAAAATAATACATATAATGAGGATGAGTCATTAATCACATTTTTGGGTGAACTAACTACGTATGCTTCTCCCACATATGACTGTGTATACAATTTGGGACTCAAAAATTGTAATAGGATCTAAACCATGAATCTTGCTGCATCCCTATTAGGCAAGGTAAGGCAAGTTTATTTATATAGCACATTTCATACACAATGGCAATTCAAAGTGCTTTACATAAACAAGAATAAAAGAAACAAGTAAAATAAAAATAAAAACAAATAATAAAAATGCGTAAAAACAAAACAAAATATAAAAACAAGTAAAATGTGATATAAAAGAATGAAGAAGAAGAGAAAAACATGATAGTGCAATCTGTCGGACGCTGCACAGTGCTCATTCAGTAAAGGCACAGCTAAACAGATGTGTTTTCAGTCTTGATTTGAATGTGCCTAATGTTGGAGCACATCTGATAATTTCTGGAAGCTGATTCCAGCAGTGAGGGGCATAGTGGTTGAAAGCTGATTCACCCTGCTTTGACTGAACTCTTGGAACTTCTAGTTTAAATGATCCTAATGATCTGAGTGATCTGTTAGGTTTGTATTCAGTGAGCATATCTGTGATGTATTTAGGTCCTAGGCCATTTAGTGATTTATAGACCAGTAATAATACTTTAAAATCTATTCTGAATGTAACTGGCAGCCAGTGTAAAGACCTGAGGACAGGTGTGATGTGCTCTGATTTTCTGGTTCTGGTTAGAATTCTGGCTGCAGCGTTCTGGATGAGCTGCAACTGTCTGACTGTCTTTTTAGGAAGACCAGTGAGGAGTCCATTACAGTAATCCACCCTGCTGCTGATAAAAGCATGAACAAGTTTCTCTAAGTCTTCACTAGAAACAAAGCATCTGATTCTTGCAATGTTTTTGAGATGATAGTATGCTGATTTAGTTACACTCAAAAAAATAGCTCATTACGTTAACTCAATTTAATTGTGTGCAGGTTTTCCATCCAATAAGTATGCGTAGCCCTAACCAAAATAAAGTTCATTTACATAACGAAAAGTAATTGAGTTAGTCCAACTCAATTTTATCAAATATAGTCAAGCAAATAAAAATTCATTAAATTACTATAACTGATTTACATTCGTTCAACTAAATATAAATTAATTGGAAATATTTATTTTTCATTTGATCCCGTTACTACACACACTCAAAAAATAGCTCATTAGGTTAACTCAATTTAATTGTGCGCAGGTTTTCCATCCAATAAGTATGCGTAACCCTAACCAAAAGATCATTTACATAACGAAAAATAATTGAGTTAGTCCAACTCAATTTTATCAAATATAGCCAAGCAAATAAAAATTTATTAAATTAATATAACTGATTTACATTCGTTCAACTAAATATAAATTAATTAATTGGAAATATTTATTTTTCATTTGATCCCGTTATTACACACACACGCCAAACAGATTGTATCTTTTTTTTTATTATTGGAAAAACTTTTAGAAACACTTTAACAGATCTTGCATCTGGTGTGAAGTAAATGTATCCCATGTTTTCCAAAGCATCAAACACATTAAGGGAGTAGAGGCATCAGCAAATGATGCAAAATGTAAACATTCCAATAAATCTGAATCCTGCTTGATCAACATTCAACTTAATTATAACATGGATTAAAGGCACAATTTATATATATATATATATATATATATATATATATATATATATATACGTTGAACAATAGAGGCTGAAACTAGTGCTTGTTTTACTTGACTAATTTGAATTGTAACAGACAGTTTTTAGTATCTGTCAGACCTTAAAACCAGAAGATATAAAACCAGTCTTGTATGTTAACGATGCACAAATAAATAAATGAAATTATACCTAAAACAGAGCACATTTATTAAAATGTGAAGCAGCAAACTTTGTAACGTTTCTTAAAAGGGCATAACCTGAGAACAATAATATGAAAAATGACTGGCTACTCGAGAGGTACAGCATTTTTAATCTGTGTAGTACAAATGGTTAATTCAAACAAAAACACAATTTAAAAAAAAGGCTGTGGGGACCAAATTTGGACAATAGGAGGGTGAAAACAGACCAAGACAGTTTGATTATAACAAGGAGACCCATTGTCACCAAAACTAGAACAATTTCTGAACAAGTGATTTGCTCTGGCCAGTCATAATTCAATTATCTAAACGTCAAAAATTCAGAAAAAAAAAAAAAAAAAAACAAAGCATTAGGTCAAGTCCATTTTAACAAGTGTTGCATCAAGTAATTACCTGACAGGTATGAGAGTAATGGAGACACTTGTTGAAATTATACTGTACATGAATGAGCCATGATGTGCAGATGTTGGCATCCCAAAAATAATAAATAAATATATAAAAAAGTTGCATTGGGAAATCCAAACTTAAAACCTCATCAACCATTAGTTTGTTAGGGGTATCAATTATCACACCAAGTCACTCCATCACCCTGGCTTCATAGAAAACATTTATCATAAAAACATTATTTTGCATTTGTATGTCCAATTTTTTTTTTTTTTTACTTGTCCACATGCTTCCTTTTTGTAGCTTAGCCACAATGTAAAATGTCACATGGAAAACATCCATGAGTTCAGTGTTGTTAGTTTAGTAGATGAAAGATGGCAGAAGATTGAAAAGACAAATGAATCCCAAATACGAAAAGCGTAAAGAAACTTCATTTATTTGTCATCTGGTGTTCACTTTAAGAAAACAATTTGATTTTCAGCTGCTGTATCTTTGGATTGAGCTTGTGTCCATCCAGTCATTATGATTTTCTTGATGAACTCAAAGGTGTACTTGAGGTTTTCTGGAAATCTCAGATCAAGGGCAGCAAAACAAAACCCATGATGACACTGCCAACGTTGGTCAGAACTTTAATGCCTTCGATCACAATTCCCACATCCTGTGGCTCCCCGTTGACATAACTTCGGATTATGTAAATCCCCATGACTGTGCTTGAGATGCCCCTCTCCACATCATCAGTGCCAGAGGCCTGAAAAGACAGATCATATGCAATGATAAATAATCTGTGTGCATTTGTGAAATTTATAGAAGTCACAACATTTGTGAATCTGTGTGCATCTATTTACACTGACAGATATACAGTTTCATATTTGTGTGCCATGGGAGAAATAACAGAATAAAACTACAGTTACACTGTAGTTTCACTGTTAGAGACTACATGAGAAACAATCAAACTTACCAAATATGCCTTAAAGAATGAATCAGGATCTTCAGACCATTAAATTGATTGATAGATAAAATACATTGACTCAAATAGTCAGACGTTAATTCAATTGAGGTAAAGTTGGTTTTATATTTGCACATTCCTTCATTTAACGTTCCCTATATTATCTACTACGCTAATTTGAATATTGGGTCTGAAATCACAAGTAAATATGACTTGAAAACAACATTAGCACTATTTAATTGACAAAAAAAATTGTCCTTTGATAGTCATTGGCTGCTAATATGATTTCACTATTTAGAGCTTGCAAATAACACCTTTCTGAAATGATAGCAAGGAAAAAGTCTGAATGTGCGAATATTTAACCAACTTTGCCTCAATGTTGATTCAACATCACCCCGAGGACAAAAAATATTAAATCAACGTCGGAACATTATGATAAAAAACGTTAATGTTAACTCTGTCAGTCTATTTTCTCCTGCATGATGAGCGACTGGCTAGCCAGCTAACGTTAGCCGTCAACTTTACTAAAAACCGAAGCAAACCTTTATCACGCTTGTTACACACGGTCGAGAACATAACATGCATTCATAGCGAGGTACTCGCTGAAAAAGAAACGAATACTCACCAAAAAATGACTTCTTGTAATCGGGAGCGTCTCATCAACTCGTCTGCAGCCACAGGTGGAAAATGGTGGACGGAGAAACGCAATGCAGGTGGCAGTGAAAATGCACGGTCTCACGCATGCGCAAAACGGGGTCACTTTATTGAACTCATTTGATTTGGATTAATAAAGATTATAGGTGAAACGACTAATACATTTTACGTTACATTAATTAAATGTAAATTAATATTTTAAAAATCAAAATATTTAAATAATGGGAACAGTATTTATTTGTGTCACATCTAAGAAGGGCTTGAATCATTTTTTTGAGTGTATATAGACTTGCCTTGCTGTAAGCATTTAAGAAATAAATAGCAGTCAATGTCTTTCCAGTCAATCCATTACTCAAAAACCCTAATATGTTCAGTACTGCGAGTTCTTGTGATCCGTTCTAGCCTTCCTGATGAGTGTGATGAGAAAGTTGAGCAGGCAGACATGGACATTTCACTCTGCTTCTTGTGGCATCACATCAGCAGAGCCACACACACACACACACACACACACACACAAACACACACACACACACACACACTCACAGGCAGCTTTCTCTGTCTCTCGCTTTGTATTTCTCGAATTGTGCCGACCGCCCACAGTAGAAGCAGGACAGTCCGAGCCAGCGCTGCTGCACTAATTCTTGGATTGGCTGCGAGCGTGTCCTGGGGAAGGGAATACAAATCAGGCTTTACTATACAGTCAGGCCGAGCTGGACTGTTTCCCAGGAGCCTGCCGTGCTGGCCGTCTGTAGCCTAGGCAAAGGTTGACAGGACGGAAACCGGCCTTTGAGCTCTCGGCCTCCCTTGGGGCTTATGGCCCTCACAGAAGTGGATTATTACAGTAATAATCACCCAATTTGGTGAGGCGCCACTCAACAGAATGGCACATTTTGCCTCTTCCAGCAGCACTATAACATCAGTCTGTATATGTGCATTTATATACCAGCACAGCATGCAACACCCACACTTATCCTTGAGGGTAAAAACAGTGTATTGTGCGCTACACCAGATCAGGCAAACCCACAGAATCGACAAGCTGACAAATGTGTTTCTGTGTATTAAACTAATTCTTGATGATGATTTTTTTATAACAGCACTACAAAGCCAGAGTTATGGTCGTGCAAAGTCACAGAAATATAGTTCTTCTTCTCTTTCTGAGCACACTTTGTGGCTTTTTATTACATTCATTCATTTTCTTTTTGGCTTAGTCCCTTTAATAATCAGGGGTCGCCACAGCAGAATGAACCTCTAACTTATCAAGCAATTGTTTTACACTGTGGAGCACCCAGAGGAAAGCCACGCCAACACGGGGAGAACATGCAAACTCCCAGCTGATGCTTGAACCAGTGGCTTTCTTGCTTTGAGGCAACAGTGCTACCCACTGTGCCACCATTTGTATTACATCATTTAACTTAATACAATCTTCAATGTGTCATGAACTGCATTTTTTTACATTTATTTGATGTTTTCATCAATGTTAGCAAAATTGCTCTTTTACAGGGGTGTGACGAAATCTCGAGTGACGACATCTTGTGAGACTAAATTGCAATAATGTTTTTTGTTGAGGTGAAAAGTTTTCTCGTGAGTTGTGATGTTATGATGGAGCATGAGGGTGAAATTAGCATTGAAGATTGGACGAAGGACTGGGTTTAAACCTGCAAATCAAGTGCTTTGCTTGATGCGTAGTTGCGTGTCACTCGTTAACTTGAGTAGGGTATGTCTGCGGACTGATAGACGGGGGCATAACAGGAAGAGGCTCAACTTGTAGTACGTTAGAGGCGTAACTTAAAGTTATGGAGACCCACACCTACTCCACACCTAAAACCCAACCATCAAAGTTATTAACGTCTATACCTACAACACCTCTAAACCTAATCATCGCTATTAACGTCTACACCTTCCCCAATACTAAACCCAACCACCATAGTTATTAACGTCTACACCTTCCCCAACACTAAACCTAAACCTAAATACGTTAAATTCAGCGTTAAATTACAGAAATTTACACTAAAATAACAAAAGTTAAATTACAGCAATTTCTTTCTATGTAAATTTCCTGTAAATTTCTGTAATTTAACGTTTGTTATTTTATGGTAAATTTCTGTAATTTCAAGATCGTTATTTTAAGTTTTTTTTTTTTTTTTTCACCAACCCAGCTGCCGGAAAAAATTACAGTTAACTACAGTTAACTACAAGTTACACTTTGTTTGCTTGGGCGGGTATGACATAACCACTTTCAAAGGTTGGCGCATCCAAAAGCAAAGTCTTCTACAACTGCCACCACACAAATTAACCTTGCGATGGAATAATATTTTAGATTTGCTAGATTAGTGGCAACGCAGTGGCGCAGTAGGTAGTGCTGCCACCTCACAGCAAGAAGGTCACTGGTTCGAGCCTCGGCTGGGTCAGTTGGAGTTTCTGAGTGGAGTTTGCATGTTCTCCCGGCATTCGCGGGGGTTTTCTCCGGGTGCTCCGGTTTCCCCCACAGTCCAAAGACATGCGGTACAGGTGAATTGGGTCAGCTAAATTGTCCGTAGTGTATGAGTGTGTGTGAATGAGTGTGTGTGGATGTTTCCCAGAGATGGGTTACGGCAGGAAGGGCATCCACTGCGTAAAAACGTGCTGGAAAAGTTGATGGTTCATTCTGCTGTGCTGACCCCAGATAAATAAAGAGACTAAACCGAAAAGAAAATGAATGATGAATGAATGAATATGCTTAAAGCCAGAATCGTCATAAACACAAATTAAACTAAGTTGTGAAATATTCTTATTTTAATCTCCTCTCGTTCTCATGAATCCCATGCTCATGTCTCATCTCCTCGAGTAAATGTCTCATCACACCTTTTTTATTCTGTTTTTGATGCTCTTTTTGAAAGTAGTCTAAATGCCCACTGATATGATTAGGTAAATTTTGCATATTAAAATAGCTGATGATGAACAACTTAGTGACATTTGGATTTAAACAATGCTGAATATACAATATGTAGCAAACAAGGCAATAGTGATACTTAGTCAAATCTTTTACTGTAACTTGTGTGATTTGTGACTATACTATTGGATAGCTAGAATTAGGCCTGCACAATATGTTGTTTCAGCATCAATAATGCAATGTGATTGTTCGCAAAAGTCAAATTGCAGGATATATGGAATTGTTGAGTTTGTATTATAATCGATCACTTGTTTGTGTTTTTGATGCCTGTGATTGTATAATGATAATCATTCAGGTATAAGAAATATTGTACCGTTTGTGACCTTACGATGATTAATTTTATTGATTTTTTGTTATTTTAATCATTCATTTACTGTACTTGAATTCTGTTAAATGATAAAACACTTTATTTCAATTGTATCTTTTTCTTGATTGTATTTATAGATTGTTATGCAGAAAAATACTCACAACACATGCAAATACTGAAATACACTGCAAATAGCACACACCACAACGAAAATGCGTCGGGGAACCCCAAAAAATGTTTAAGATTGTTTATTAGATTTTATAGAGATGCATTCCCACTGCAGAATCATCCCAATTTATCTAACGTCATAAATTCTTTCCAAATAGAGATATTAAGTTATCAAGTGAAATTGTATTCGTATCACAATATATATCGCAAAATAAAAAAATCACAATGTTAGATTTTCCCAATATCGTGTAGCCCTAGAACTGCATCATCTTTTATATCCAGTCTCTCTAAAAAGCCTGTCAAACTGTGTTGTGTTTTTCATAATATGAAGCAAAGGAGAAAACTCTGTCTTGCTGATGCGATCTGGAACAATCTTTCCGAATATTGTACGCCATGTCTACAGCAGAAGTGAGAGAAATGAAACATTATTGTCTACACTGGATGGAATGACAAACCTTTGACTGTTAACTGATGCACTGCTCTTCAAGTCCAACATGTTCCAAGTGCTTAAGCTACAACTGAGATGAAGGAGAAATGGATTTGCAAGACAGACATCCAAACAATGGTCACATCCAGCTTAGATTACAACTTCTTGTAATCCTCTTTTAAGTGGGTGTTGATCTTTTACAGAGTTTTCTTGCTCTATGATGTCATACTGATACAAAAAAATATTTTTAAAAAACGTTGTTTTGGCAAATTGGTTTCAATAAAGGCTGTTTATGTTAATGATAACTATTTATAGGACAGTTTTAAAGTACAAGGACTGTTATATGTCAAAGGATCAAGGGGATTTAAATTCTCATTTCATAACCTCATTAAAAATGTATTTTCACAGTAATGGCACAGAAATAACCTTTGCTATCACATATCTTAATTATTTAGATCAGGGGTACCCAAACTTTTTCTTATGACGGGCCAAAAACCAAACTTGATTGAGGGTGGTGGGCTGGAAGTAAATATAGGGTAATTTCCTAGTTTATTTAATAATATTAAAAATGACTAGAAAACATTGCTTTATATTAACTATTACAGCATATATATATTTTTACATTTTAATGAACTTATTACAGTAAAAACAAAATAATCTAATTTAAAACAGAATTATACTAGCTTTTGCCTTAATTTGCTCGTCGATGTCTTCTGCATAGTCTTCTATGTGTGACAATATTTACATTTTTAAAAAAGCAGAATCATTTACAACCTGTAATTGAAACATTTAATTTTAGTCTGCTTTTTTGTAGCTAAAAAGGATGTGTCAAATTTGAAATGGCAATCTGTGTTAAAGCCAATCGCCCCAACCTTCTCCATCATTCTGACACTCCTTTCAGAGCCAAATCAAAGGTTAATGGGCCAACTTTGGCTCACAGGCCCTACTTTGGGCATCTTTGATTTAGATTATCTAAAGAGCCAGTGTAATATAAAGGTTCCATGGGTGCTAAAGGTTTTAAAGAGTGTATTTTAATAATAGGTTTATAATTGTATCATAAGAGGAACCATCACAATCACTCTAAATACAAATAAAGTTGTCATAAAAATGCTATGTGTTAAATCCCCATTATATTAGCGACTTGATGCAGAAACGCTTGATTAGATCATGCAAATTTTTTGGCTTGCGCATATGGCGTCTGCACGTGCCAAGAGCACAAGCGCATATGCCGCGATCCTAAATGAGTGTAATGTTCTCAGACGCGTCTTTTTCGGACCACTACACTTTGTAAGTCACGCTAGACTTTGTGTCATCCACTGCACGGGGGCTCGGACTTTCCAAAATCCCTTTTATACATGCGCACTCCTAATCCAGCTCATTCGCATTATTACTAAGCGCTTATGCCATGAGCTGCTCGTATCTGGTTTAAGGGGACTTCAGGGGGTCACGTTCTACTCTCTGCAACTCACGCTCTCCGAAAGGTACCGGATCCGTTACGCATAACGCATCATCAAGGATGCCCACGCGTCCCGCCTCTCCACACAAAGCTCTGTTAACCCTTCCAGCATCATTATTAACAGTTTTGGTCGTCCATCACGCACAAAAATAGCTCGCTTGTTCACAGGCAGCTAGTCACTCGGCTTTCTTACCGCTTATTCCCAGCGCAGTTGCTCATGGACGCGCTGGTGGTTCCGTGGAACGACGATGGCCAGGACATGCGGGACTTCTTGAGCCCCGGCCGGTCACTCGTGTCCATGGCGTTCGAGCGCTCTATCTGTCGGTGATGATGTCGGTCGGTGTCAGAGTAACCGCGATGTTTGATTTTGATGGGGGTCCGTGGCTGTCTCCACAGATGCTGGGGAGGCTTGAGGGTCGCCTGTCCCTCCCGGGGAACCGGTAGCGAAAGAGACAGGCTCTTTTTCGAGCAGGGTGGCGGTTCCATCATAGTGCAAAAGAAACAGATGTACGCAATGTGTTAAGAGCAATAAAAACGATATGGCTATGTATTCTTGCACATTAAGAAATCAACCCGTCTACTGTCCGTAACTGACTAGTCTCCATGTCTAACGACGGAATGTATTGAAATCGGGTCCAAAGGCAATAAAGATTCAGTGCTTTTGTGAGAACTAATCACAGTGTTCAGATAACAGGTGATGGCGCAACGTCGCCCCGTGTTCTTGTCATCTCCGCAATCATGTCGATGGTAAATCCTAAAGAAAAGTTATCAGCAAGGCTCCACTTTAAAACATCACGAGGCGTCGTGGCATCCGCGCGGCCGCCGGTGAAGCTCTTCCCCTGAAGTTTGCCATGGCGCGACGGGTCACTTGTGTCCTGTGCGGATTTTATTGCTTTTAAAACCTCCTCCAGACGCGATTATTGCTTCTAAACACCGCTCATGTCTCTCCAAGCTCTGGTGTCTCCAACTGGAGCCATGCGAACTCTGTGACGAGGAGAACTGTTGTACATCTGGAACTATCGGCGACTAAAAAAACTCAAGCTCGCTGTCAGGAGATTCACCTTCCACCTCCATTAAAACCTCGCCGCGAACAGTTTCATTACGCGAATCATGTTGGGTTTTGCCTGGAGAAGAGCGCGCGTGGGATGATGGATGTGTGCGATATCCATGCACGCGGCTTTTTCGCGTCCTCGCTTTCTTCTTTCTTGAAGCATTCGTTCAGTTCCGCGAAATCATCCTTGTGAGTCAAAGTTCAGCGATCTTCCAGCTGCACTTGAGTTAGTTTTGCCGTCTTATCGCGCTCGTATCAATCAGTTGTCGACAGATGTTAAATTATGGCATTTGAGAAACACTCTACGGCTCCACTCTCACTCTCCTCCACCACCATCTCTCTCTCTCTCTCTCTCTCTCTCTCTCCCCTCTCTTCATTTCTGAGTCCGCGCCTCGACGCAGTTTTTTTTTTCTTTTACTTGAGACTAGATAAACCAAAAACAGCTTCAGTCGTTGCTAGTTTTCCCTATGAATTGATTTCGCATGTAATTATATTAGGTAAACATCGAATTTATCAGTAATGTGAGTCGTGACGAATAACAATAATTATGATTATCCGTTTTTTTAATGAAATAAATAATGTGTCTTATTTGGATTAACCGAATTAAACAATACGATTGGTACAGTACGCAAACGGATAACTACAGAATTTTGATGTTATTTTGATAATGTTTTCACCCTAGTCAACATGGGTCAAAACCAGTTTATTATTCTCAAAAGATGTCTGCTTGAACCAGGAGGACTAGAAGAGTTTAATGAAATCTATCTATTAGCATTCCCATTCATCTCAATGGCAGTTTCTGGACTGGCGCAGAATCCCCAGATGTACATAATTTCAGATCAACTATCTTTCCTCATGGGCGCTCAATGGTTTCTGCTGCCAGGTTATTTTGAGCCAACCATCTGAGTCTAAATGCCATGCGACTAATTACAGATAAACGTTTAAGAGCTCTTCAAAAATCATTAGCAATAAATGAAATATTAAAGAGGCCATATGTAAGACATTTCATGTATGAATCTGTTTTTTTATTGCCAATCTGAGAACAGGCCTTTAACTTAACAAGACATTTCACAAATTAATTGTTCAGAAGAGCCTGTAACCTGACTTTTTTTTTTTTTTTTTGCAATGGAAATGTAAAAGATGTGACCTTTATGAATGCTCTTCATGTTTCAAAGTGTCACACATGATTTTTTTTTGTGTGTATAATTTTATTTTAAATTGCAGAGCCTGTGTAAATATATATCAATGTAGCTAATCAAATTTCTTAGCTGCTGCTTTTTCTTGTTTATTTTTTTATTTAGAGGAGAAGAGTGTTGCCCAAATTTACAAATTCATCTAAACATCGCTCTTATTATCAGGGTTTTGCTGCAAAGGTATTTATTCTTATGTTTTACTTAACCCAGGCTCATTATTGATACGTACCGCTGCATACATTTCTGGAAAGCATAAAATTCGTCCCGGAATGTACATTTTTTTTTTTTTTTGCAGTTTTTGTTTTTGCGAATCCACCGCTGTGTACGCTTTTTCAGATCTCAGATTTCTCTCGCAAGTGCCATTTGTTCCTGTTGTTCTTGTGTAAATCCACCAGAGGCCTCTATCGGCTGACTGACCGACCAACCAAAACCTTACACCCACCCTAACTCTAAACCCAACCAACAATGAATGATTTCGAAAGCACAGATTAACGCGCTCACTGCATGCCATAAAACCCAACCGACAGTGTTTTCAAAAGTAATACAGAAAAAGTGGCATTAAACCATCTCATTTTTACCACATTTTCAGATCTTACCACATTTTCACCCTGTTATTTACTTATTTTATTTTTTGCCTTTTGTTTTGGTTTTACCTGCTTTCTGGGACTGTTCAGACTCAAACTCTGCCGTCACATTCAACTTCTCTCTGCGCCTCAAGTCTGTCGATGTATGTGGTGAGCCAGTGGGAAAACCGATAACAGGGAAAAGCCGTCTGTACAGAATCAGAAGCTGTTGGTGACATCATACCATCCTGTAGCGTACATTTTAAAGATAAAATGCAGCCAATCATAGCTTTGGCTACATAATTTGCGCTCAACAGAAATGTATACAGGGATATGTTTTGATATTGAGCTGGTATTGTCACTTTCAGCTACATGCAATGAAAGAAGCAATAAGTAATAAGCTGCCACTTTATATGTATTTCATTTTTATAATGCATTGCTACTTTCAAATGGCCTTGCTAATCTGTGAAACCATGGCTGTATCTATAATCACACCTATACCCTCATTCACTATTTCATACATTAGTCCACTAATATAGTCCAGTGGTTCCCAAATTGGGGGCTGCAGGACAATGACCAGGGGTCGCGTGATGATTTCCCAAAGTCAAATTAGTTTTAGACCCCGTTTACACTAATACTTTTTGTTTTTAAAATGGCAGTTTAGAACGAAAACGATCCACGTCCACACAGGCGTTTCATCTAACATTTCTGAACAGTTTTCAGTCAACACTACACAGCTGAAAACGCACATCACGTAATCACACACTCTGGCATGCGCTGAAAGCTGCTTCAGCGTATTCTTGTGTCTGAGCTCCAGATAGTCAGCGGGAGCTCTGAGCACACCTGCCCAGCTGAGAGCAGCCAAACGCCTCTCTGTAGTTGGTAATCGGGATCTATAATTCATCTTGTGTAAACCTATATCTAACGGGTCTGTCTTTTGAATCAGTTAGCCTACTTTTTTCTCAGGTAATTTGTTTTGGCTGAGCGCGGATAAGTTATATCTATTCATTCATGTAACAATGTACACTGAATTCCACACGTTTGCACTGATACTGATGGCTTACCTTTATTTCCTATATTGTATAAACTTATTGTACTTTATACATTTTAAATTATTATCGATTGTTAAAATGATAGCTTACTGATTGTTATATTCAGCACAAGAGACGTATTTCACCATGTATTTCCTCTGATGATCTTTATTGTGTGCATAAAGCCTGACATTAGGCACATATTGCCAAAACCACACAGTGAGCCCAATATTTCATATGTTTCAGTGGAAATGAAAGGAAGCATAGGCTTCATTTTGTTAGAAATTTGCATACAGTAAAGATGACGTTCACATGTCATATGTGTCTGTTATGTTTAAGTTATTAATATAAAAGTTTAAAAAGGCAGTGCTTTATGTCATATTTTCATTATATTGTTAAGATGATTGAAACGTAGCCAGAGTGAATGACGTTATAAAAGTAGGCTTCTGCTGTTACATTTGAAAATTTACCCAATGTGTCCTGACTACCTCCAGAGTTTGTTAGAAACTTGCGCAGTCTGAACTTACAAGAAGAAGATGCAAGACAGAATTTTGTGTACTTAATATTGAGAAAAAGCCCCAATCAGAATATCTGCACCCTCGCCTCCATTTTCATATAATTTCCCCTATTCACACCCAGTGGCATAGTGCAAAATGCCGGGGCCACTTGCACCGATTATTGACGAGGCTCCTGGTGAAGTCGGTCGTGGAAATCAAGCTCGAATACTCAGAGTAGTGTGGATGGAAAGTGTAACGGTAGTAAAACGTATGCGTTTTAAAACAAACAGAACAAAAAAATAGTAGTTAACAGTTACATAAAACAACAACATGAACATATTTGCATATTTATAACCACCTTTGACGAATGTGGGGGTCGCGAGTCACTGGCATTGTTATTTTGGGGGTCGCGGACTGAAAAGTTTGGGAAAAAAGTTATTTAGTCCAGTTTGAGCACTCGGTGCACCAGAAGGGACAGTTTAGTTTGTGCTTTGCTGGTTGATAATCCCTCAGACAGATTAGATGTTAAACTTCTTGGTCAGACCCTGTGATAATTATTTAACATTAGCAATCTGTCGATTAGTAATGTAAAACAAAGTAATGTGATTTCTGTCCTGTATACAAATGTTAAATTACCAATTTATTAATATTTGAACTTGCTGTTAGATGTGGAAATTAATTAATAAGCAGGACATTATGGGTATTCTCTAGCCTTTGAGTCTACATCGGTTGTACACTTGTTATTGCTGTGCATTGTGGGATTGATTCAACCTAGGCTCATCCTGAAAAAATTCTAAATCTAAAAACATGGTAAAAATCAGGCTGCCGCGAGGACTTTTCTTTTTCTGGATTGCTTTTGAAAGCACCGAGCTTGGGTTTAGGGAAGGAGGATAGTGGGTCAGTCAATTAGTTAGTCAGTCGACAGCAGCCTCTGGTGGATTTACATGAGAACAGCAGGTGCGAATGGCACTCACGAGAGAAATTTGAGATCTTAAAAAGCATTCACCAAAAAAAAAAACCTGCAAAAAACATTTGGGACGTATTTGGCGCATTTAGAAATGTATATAGGGGTATGTAATCAGAATGAGCCTGGGTTGGATTGATTGAGTGCACTACCGAACGTCCACTATGGTTACGAACACCAATGCAAATGGCTGCTTCCTCAAATAATGCACTACATTGAAAAAAAAAAAGATTCAAGGATGATTCCTTGAAATTTACTACATTTTTAAATTCATTTTAACAAACAAATTATTTTGAACATTATCAAATTAAATGTGTTTGTTTAACTTCAGCCCATATAAATTGTTGGCAGTATTTTTGCAGAAATGTTTTTAAAATAATAATTTAGAACAAAATTAAAACGTGCTTATCATTTACTTACCCAGTGAACTATCTCTTTAAATGGATATGGGGCCATTTTAGATACAATGTTTGCTTAGAAACCACAAATGTTTAGCTTCTGCATCTGCACATTTAAATAACAGAAAACAATTCACATCCCCAGCTAGTTAATCCACCAAGCTAATGGCATGGGGAATATATAAGAAAAAAGGAAGTGTTTTTCTGCTAAACATAACAGTTCTCCAGAATGAGTTTGCTCTTAGTTTACGAAATGTTTGCATTCTCTTTAATCTTCTCGTTGCAGGGCAATTTTCGGTGATTAGATCCTTAACCTTCTCTTTTATGCCCTATACCCTATGGCTGGCAAATCAAAGTCACATTTTTTTTCCCTTAAAGACAGAATTTGTTGTTAATGTCTTGCTAATCCAGTGATTCCCAACCTTGAGGCCACTTTTATGCACATATGTGCTTCTTATCTGACACAACAGTTTCAGGACTAGGGAGTAGTTTGCCTACAAACTAATTAATCAGGTTTATTTGATTAGTGAAACGTCAATAACACACAAGGTTGGGCCGAGTTAATCTATCTCTAATCACTGAGCAACCTTTGACTATTTGCGCAATGCTCAAATGCCCTTAAACTTCGTATGCATTGTTCTTCTGGATCTTTCCATGTGCCTTTCTCATCTATCTCTCATTTCCGCTGTAAAGTTGACAGGAGCGATATTGAT